TCCAACCTCAAGATTTCATTTCAGTGGCACACGAGATGAAGAGCATCCTTTGTGTCCCGCTGTTCTGAACAGCAAATAAAATGAAAAGATGCTCCGATGAAAAGGGGGAAATGTGTTTGAATGAATGATAAAGTAGATCACTGGACGGGGTGCGCATGAAGAGCCTTCTGTTTTTCGCTGTTCAAAGTTTTTGCCTGCATAAAGCATCCTTATCTTTGTGGCAACTGATATGCTACCCTTTGGAGCAGTGCTTTTTTTGTACAATTATTGGTCAGAGGATCTTGACTCACGACTTATTCGATCCGTTTTCTTTCCGAAACAGCTAATGACAAGAAACCTCCCTGAGTGCAGCAAGGTGTGGTGGGAGTGAACGGGGGAGCGTGGTTAGCCAGTGAGACCCCCGCGTCTCCCATGCGTCTTGCCTTTTTGACTCTTGACAGATAACCCGTTGTGCCCCTTACAGTTGCATCCCGGTCTTTATCTGAAATGAATCTTCTATGACATTTTTGAGAGAGAGCTCTTCCTCCTCGAAATGTCAGTTCTTAGATCCTGAGTTCTTAGATCCTGAATAAATACGCCAATCAAAACATCGGCAAAGGTCTTCATGAAGAGCACAGTGGTGATAGGCAAAAGTCCAACTAAGATACCAAGATGCTGAGCACCTTCACCACATGCCAGTATAAATAAAAACTGTGAAAAAATAGCAAAATAAATTTTTTTCAGTGTTGGAAAATATATTAAAGAAAACAGTATCTTTTTTTTTTCTCCTATTAAGTTTATTGGTACTTTTTAGGTATACCGTACAGTTACATTCATTGCGATCTTGCACCTTTACATGATGCATCTTGGTTCTTATTTTTCCGCATTTCCTGCCCCCCCTTCACCCCTCCACCCTTCCCTATTTAGAAAGGCTTGGTTTACATTTTTTTCCTTCTCTCATATTTTTCTTTTCTCTTTTTCCTTTTCCCCTTCCCCTCCCACTTCCCCTACTCCTTTAGCCCTTTTCTTCATGTTTCACATTATCCATTATACATTTTGATGCTTATTTACACTTTTACACTGCCAAAGAAAATTGGCAATTGGGAGTCTTACTTTAAAAGGTTATTTGATGTTATATTTTAAAGACTTCAGAAATGCTCATATAATTTAAGTTGCTCTACTTCTGAAAGCTCATCTGAAGCACATTAGAAGATATAGGTACCAGGATGTCCCTTAAAATGCTAAAAAAAAACAAAAATAGAATGTCTGATATTGGATGTTAGCTTACAAAAACTATAGCAATCTAAAGATACCAATCAGAAACAGCATTCTGATTGAAAATGAGAAAAATATGTACTAGGAACATGAGATCCTATATTTATATCGAGTATATGAAAATTAAACTCATACTCAGATTTTGAAAGAAAAATAAACAATGATTCTAAATGTTACTTTATTTATCCATTAGAAAACTCTAGAAAGTGAACAGTTATGGCATGTAATCTGAAACATGAACAATTCATTTTATTTAGAGTATGATGCTATTGGATCGATTTATATAGAGAATTATTTATCAGCATATGTTTTTTGAAAGTCTATTTATTTAGAGCATATTATGAAGACATTTTCACACTGTTTCGGCCACACTCCTGTACTGCTATGGTAATGGGAGTAGAGTCTACATTATCTGAAGAGCATATTCTAATATGCCCTGCTGTTCAAACCGTGCAGGCATGTAAGTCAATACGTTTGTTTTTCATCGCTCTTAATAAAGGTTCATATTTGGTTTCATTAGATGCCTATAAAGTATTTGGGATTGTACATTAGGTTAAAAAAGATCACTCATATTTTCTTGAATTTAAAAGTATGTAGTTTATCTTTGTAAAAACAAAATCTTCATATATTTATTCCAAAGCATGGACTTTTAGTTTGATGTAAAAAATAAAATAAAATGTTTAGAAGGAGCTAGTTGTGAAAACATTTCTATTGTTAGGTTCCAATACATGTAACAGTTATTAGAGTCTATTAATTTGCAATCTCCCTCGGTAAATTTAATATTTTAAATTATTAATTTAAATATTTAATCACCTTTTCTAAGGCATATTTTATATGGCTCATTTTTACTGCTTAAATTAAGTCAGAAATCTATAATTTATTCTCAGGTTTAAAACACATTTAAATTGAACCATAAAACTGACACTCGTGATATTTTTTC